CAACTGTTTCGCCACTAGATCTATGCAATTTTCCTACTTTATGTAATACCACATCTGCTTACTATTGACAAACTTGGTTCCGCCTGTTATTCGACATCTGTTACCTTCTCGATGATTTGGGTAGCTGGTTAAATGATCAAATATCACCAGATCATACATCTATGTTTCTTGCTGTTTTACGAGAATCAGAAGTTGTCCTATTTCACAGGGTTTTAGAATCTGTGGCAAAATAGCATTGACGTATTCTTTTAATTGACTCCTAATAACCCCGTTGGCTATATAATTCTCCATACTCAGACCAGTTTATATGAGAAACGGAAACAATCGATATGAATATCTACCCTCATACTTTCTGTGCCGTCGAAGAAAACAAGGTGTACATTGTCCAACACTGTAAGGTGAAAGCACGGCCATTGCACTCTTGAAAGTGCCCTTGTACTTATTTTGCATATATCGGTACAGAAGTAGTTTGACAAGGTGTTACACTGAGCTCAGTTAACCGGTTAATGCATGATGCACACATGGGTAACGTAAACGCAAAATTTTTCAAGCTACCGAATGGGAATTAAACCATGTATTTTACCGTATGAGTTTAGTTGTGAGTATATACATAGATTGCCTCAAACAACATAAAATTATGAAGACAGCATTTACAGTCATGCACAGTGCCCGTTCTCCCATTACAATAGGGATTTGCCGCAGCTACGAACCATTTTCAAAGCCGTGGCCTAAATGATCACGAGCATGCCTGGTAGTCCGTGGTCGAGGGTTCGAGCCAGTGTACAAAACCGGGCGATCCTCTCGCGATTGTTGGTGGTTACATAGCAGCAATGCGTCGGTACTGTCTACCGACGTATGGCTGATGCCTGTTTTATGTCATTGTTAGCTGCAAACCGCTACTCCTTAAATTCAGCATAAATTGCTTTTGGCAAAGTAGTCGTTTCATGGGGATTCAACTCTGTTATTTACACGCTAGATACCATCCTTGTAGCGGAGGTTGAGTCAGGATACAGCCAGGCACTTTGTAATTGACGTTGCCGCTGTGAATGGTCTACGTTCACTCTCCGCATTGTAGGACTGAATTCCAATTAATTAAAATGCACCGGAAGCACAAAGCAGTATGCAGTGTCCCTCAGAGTAATCTATGTCTTAGTGAAGACGTGATACAGATATTCTCTTCCCTTATAGTACATCACAGTGATCGCTTAACTTTCCGAAAATGACAAAAACACATACCTACCGATGTGCTTTACGCTTTAATTGTCCTGAGTTGAAGCTCTTTTGTTTTACCGTACCTTAACTGGCATAACAACGATGTAGTTTTTGGTCTACTTCCCGAATACGATAAAATTGTTCAACCTATGACTGCACTGCCACTAATTCCTTAAACCACTTGATCTAGACACTTTACTGTGGAATCCTTAGGCCCGGCTGAAGCAACGGAGTGTCTCTGTCTAAATCAACTTAGCTTGTCGTTTCAAAGTTTGTCATCGTTGTGGTTGCATGGAAAATTTCCATTGCCTATTTCTCTACCAAGACACACTATACCTCAATAAACTCTAAATAGCGAACTGGAAGGTGGTTAAATCAAATCTGTATCTAATATATATTCATGTTTTACCTGAGATAGCCATCACTTAGCGAGACAATAGGTGAGAAAGATGGACTGTTGATCCATTCTCAGCCTCCTCGTTTGACTCGTTGAGCAATTCAGCTGGCCTGGTGCGACACCGCCGTCTTCTGAACCATTTTTGTCTAAGTGCGAATTTGACGTCACACCTCACTTTGAAGGATTTTCGATTGGAGTTTTCTGTGTTGGGAAGACACAAGGCTTATGGATCCGACAACCTTCACCTATCTTTGCTGACAGATGATGGTGCCCCATAATTTAATGAACTTGTATCTATTTAATACGATGTTGGACACAGAAGAAGTGCCTTCAACCTGGCGACTCAAATGTCGTGCCCATCTTCTAGAAGGACCAGCGTACTTCATGCAAAATGCCTAGTTAGAGTAGCCTTATTTCTAATGCGTCAAAAGTTCTCACGGGTAAAATGCTTCGATGAATTTTTGTCCCAGTGAGGACCAAATGTATAAAATCCGAGCTGGCTTTCGTCCTGGCCATGGTTGCATCCAGCCCAAATTTTTCTTAGGAATGTTCTTGCAGCGACACAAATACAGACGACCGAGTGCGGTGGTTTTCCTTGACTTGCAAGCCACTTTCGGCTCGGTGGATTTAAACAGCTTCCTGTCACTGCCTATTGATGACCGACATGCCAGTTAAAAACCTCTTCATTCTGAACTCCCACTAACGTGATCCTGGAGGCCGTGTAGGGGTCTAGGTGAAATTCTCTCCTGAGCTCCCCACTAAAAGTGGGTTCGAAATCGTTGTCCTCTATCGCCTTTCCTCTTTAGCTATGTGGTCGAAATGTTCATGTATGACTCTGTATTTTCAGACCATTCTAAACTGGAAGTTCTGCCAGGAGATCAGCTGACAAAAATGTGATATGTGGGCGAATATCTATCCTTGGGTCTGATGCACCGGCTACGCAAACCCTACTGCACAGACTTGTGTTTTGCGCTGAGCGCTTCGGCATTTGCTTTGCACCTTCAACGTCCAAAGTGCTATTGCAGGACTGAGCCGACACACCTCCGCTACTAGCTACCACCGATCAGCCACTGGAAGTGAAGGACCGGTTAACTTACCTTGATAGCTGTGTCAGTTCTGGTGGCCACATCACTGAAGAAGTTCCTTCGCGTATCAGCAAGTTCCGCATGGCTTCCCAGTGGTTAAACTATATATTGAGACGGCTAGACATCTGCCTGCCAATGAAATTTAGGGTACATAACACTTCGGTAAGGCCCGGCTTACTGTATAGATCAGTGGACTAGCCAGCTCACAGTTAAAATATTAAACGCTTGGCCTTGGTTGACCAACTGTGCTTGCGAAGTATTGCAGACGTTCAACGGGAATACTGGGTGAACAACGCTAAGGTCCGCTAGTTAGTTTTTGGCAAAATACATACTGGTGACCCACAAGAGTGTTACTTAAAGCAGTCGCTTGCGTCGGCCAGGCTATGCTCTCCGTAGGCCTGTTGCTCAGATTCTTCGGCATGCATTTTAACCCTGGCTTCACCAAGTAGGGCGGAACATCGAGGGGGCCAGTCCATGAGGTGCCATAGAGGCATGAAGAAATTGATTGAGAGTTTGGATCAGGCTGATGCTTGCAGTATTCCTGGATGGGGGAATTGAGAAGGTCCATAGCAATGATGGAGACGATGTCAGATGTGGCACAGCCACGAAGTCAATAACGTTCCGGCATTCGATTTCTAGCATCTAGTTGTTAAATTTTGATCCATTTTGGTTAGTGTAACACATTTCCTACTTACTTTTTTCTTCTCTACATGATATTCATACCCAAATTCTGTGTTCCACAGTAGTTATTTATTGTTATTCTTACGTTGTGAATTATGGCAATTAGGTGCATCACATTTCGCTACTCGAATAATGGTTGTTCAACGAAACTGAACATAACATGTGTGTTACTTGTTTTATTCTGTAGCTCATATTGCTTAGTAGCTTACTTTTTCGTATATCTTACGGTTTTGTACAGCGGCACAATTTTTTGGCGCGTTGCTCAAATTCAGCTAATGTGTAATGATGATAATGATGATGCATCAAGCCAAGGGTTTCAGTAATTTCTTTGCAAAAGACAGTGCTATGTGCATGCAACCATTGAAATGACAGTACTGGCGTTCAACTTCCGTTTTAATAGTTTACAGTGAACGCATGAGCACAGCATCGGGGCTGGATAAGTTAACAGTAAAAGTTAACAGAAGGTAAAGTAATATCTGACAGGAAGGTCAGAAGACGTATATGGTGAGGTGATGAGTCACCCGTAGTCCTACAGCGCGATGGGTGGCCTAACATACATCGGTCTTTGGAGGCCACTGTTATTGATCGCTAGCTACCGCCGCTGTACATCCAACAAGGACTGACTGTGACTAAGCCTACGCTGGTACCGCAAATGTTTGACTGTTTACGAGCACTTTCGTATTGTTGGTTGTTCAGCTGCATATCATTGTTGCATGAATTTTGTTTGATACGATTGCACGAAATGACAAATTTAACTCAAAATCCACGTCTTTGCTTTTCCTGTTTGGAATTATATGGGAAGCATCCCATGTTAAATAAAGTAACATGCTTTGAAGAGCCGCGGAAATCGCCCATCATTACATTTCTCAAGTGCGAAGCCACCAATGGATTTGACTTTGTACTTGACTGTTTTTCGGACAAACGACTGAATTTGTAAGCCACCCCATCTCGCAAAACTGCTGTATTAGTTTGGGGATCGTCAGTGTTCCAAGTGCAGAGTTGTACATTGCAACTCCCCTGGATTTCTCTTTTCTGAGGCCATGTCAACTAACTGTTTAAGAAAATTAACTGTTCCGAAACTAGCGAAGAAACAGTAACTAAAACAAATAAAATTATTTATAGTGGATATTCTATCTGATATAAAGAGGATCTTTGATTTCTGCAGATGAGACATTTGAATTCAACACGTTTACGCGCCTAAACCTATAACATCAAAACAGAGATATTGGTATCCGTATGATTACGGAACGCAGTTGTGTGCATCGGACTGCTTTATTAATGTTTGTGGATAAATTGACTGCCCCGAAGACGATGCAGAACAGTAGTGGTTATATTCGTAAGCTAAATAAGTTACCGGTTTGTACGATAATTTTCGCGCGAAATTGTATCCTTACACAAAATATGTTTAAAACAGTAATACAAAGGAATCTGCTTATCTTGCAATGCCCTAAAATGCGCACAGAGATTAGTATAGTTTGTTCTTTAAGCACGTTATGCAAATAGCAATGCAGTGAATTGATCATTCTTTAACTGTGAAATGCTTTTAAACCAGCTTTTTGGCTCTAGGTGCGTTTACTGCAAATTACTCTAGATTTTGTTGTCTTAACCTGTTCCGTCCACCACAGGGTCAACTTAACATTCTGAACGTCAGTTTCAACGAAAATAACATCAACACTGAGCCAAGCGTTGCTTTGACTAGCCTGGTAACAGTTTTTGGGACCAATATGTCGACGATCATAAGGAAGTTCAGCAATTTGGAAGAAGAGATAAACGCAAAGGCTTCAGAGCTTATCGTACAGGTAAGCAAAAAATACGGTGCCTTTTACATTTATTATTTCATTTCAACACAAATCAATATTAAACATCATGATCCGAAATGAGCAAAACAACTTCTACCATGCGGTTTCACTATGCTATTTCTCTTCTGTTTCTAGGTGCAGGATCAAGTCAATTTCGATGAGCAATTTGGAGAATTAATTTCCATTTGGGATAAACTGAACTCTGAAGTGGCAGAGCCAACTACTACACAAATCGATGATGTACAGCCTGTCGTTGACAAGGCAATCGAATTCGCAGCGGTGTTGTTCGCGGTGGTCGGTTACGTCTGCATGGCCATTGCAATCATCATACTTATCATCATGCTGATCTATCTGGTGCTGTGTGCGTTGGAAGCACGGCGAAAAGGACTGATCTGTAGGTAGATGTTAAAAGTTCCAACTTATAGACATGAATAGAAATTACGGCTTTATCATTACTAAATATCACTTTTTCCTGAGTGCAGACAAGACTTTCTAAATGTAACGTAACTGGACTCAACATAGTGAAGACAATTCGTAGGAAAATGTATCTCATTAAAATTTTGTAGCTGCTAACTGAAATCTCTGTTGGCGCGATAATAGCGTTCGTCAGTTTTTGACTCCTGTCACTATGAAACAGCCGCTCGGCACTTTTCCCTGCAATCTATACCGGCGGGGATAACTTTAATCATCACGTTGATAAAATCATTATTTGATTAACTTCATGAACTCTAACCTTAACTATTTAATTAGAGTTTAATACTTATATAAGAAATTGTATACTTCTGAAGAATACAAAAAGCAGTTGACTAGAAGGGACAGAACAAATTGTGCTCGTTCTTCGTGCCATCTTGCAACGAAGCAATTGTTCTGATAACACAAATTTTGTAAGATGTGTGCAACGCAATGTACTTCTAATTATTTCCTGGTTTTGGCATGTCGCGGAATCATCGCTTTTCAGAAAAGTAGCACGGTTGTCCCATCCCAGAAAAGATGCTGTTGGCCAAAGTGTGGTACATAAATGCTCACCAAGCATTTATGCACCTGTTTGTTTATTTATTTTTCCCGGCGCCATCCATAATGTTTACTAAGGCTTTTACCAAGTATTGAAATGTCCCCAAAATGTTACCTGCGTTTTGAAAGCTCAAGTGCTATCAATCGCAAGCATGAACTTATGAAGTGTATACCGTGTTTCCATAACTCTTGACAGTTTGCTCCAAACCTCAGTATACTGAGCTGGATGAAATTTTCCTATGCTTTCCGTGGTGAACTTCGGAAACGCGATGCTGATGCACATTGTTTCTTGTGTTCCAACCCCAGTGCATAATACTTTTAGAAATTCGTGTGTCAAGGTGTGTTGCTGCTATTTGTTCCCTAAAGCTGGACTAACTCAAGCCGAGATTTTACGATACTACTGCTGCGTAGTACTTTTGAGGAGTAACCTCAGCTTTTTCGTGATTTGCCACACGGATGCGATCAATTTTACGCACTAATTAGTCTCCATACCTTCAATTTATGTGCAAGCAGTGCACGAAGAGATTAGAGAAGCTGAGCCACATCTTTGATTGAGTCAGAAACAGAAGGGCCTCAGTACCATGCTTTGGGGAATGCCACTGTGCAAGTGTAGCCAGTTGGTTATAGTTTGACTTAATCCCTTGACTTTCCGCGAACCACCAACTTCCTGATCTTTTGTTGTAGTAAGCTTTTAAAACCGCATACCCTCAGCTTGTGAAGGGCGATGATTTGGTTAATCACGTAATTAATATGTCTTCTTTCGCGTTCACATTTAGCACTCGTAAGGCGATCTGAGTCTATAAAGTTTCCTGCATTAAAAATTCTAATTTTAGCTTTTGACACAATAACTGCATGTTTCTATGCAGCGAACGCTTTCCACATTTCCTAGAAATACAACGTAAGTTAAAAGAGTGAAACTGTTTTATCGGAGCTACCTAGAATTATCAGTGCCAATATGAGGCTATAAGGTCTTGGGTGAATAGATCTTTTAGATGCATCTATGATTAAAATTTATAGGTGCGCCTGGAGTAAAAGGATTTGAAGTCAAGAAGACATCCACAGACTTGATTACCCAAATGAACGGCGGCTTATACTTGGTGATAAATGAGTTTCAGGTAACCAGATATCTTTTTCGATGAGATAGAAAATACGACTTATTTGATCTTTGGCCAACTAGACTTAAGTAATAAAATTAGGAAAGTTTGTGGTTACGGAATGTCCCACGTCCGATCGCAAAATTCTGTGCATGCGAGATAGATGTGCTATGCGGTAGTAAAACGTTTGACAGTATTTAGCACTTGTGTGGCAGATCGTACAATTGTCCACTGCAAATAGCCACTGCTACAGGTCAAATCAATGTTCAAGTGCAGGTAGATCAAGCTGAATGAAACGTATGACCGCAAAATGTAAGTAACAACAAATCATGTTCTATAGATTGGATGTTTTACAGAGAAGAGTAAAATAAGTGCTCGAAACCATTCACTTGGTTCACGCTATTGCTGAGATGGTTTGGTTTATAGCATTGGTTAAACATGTTGTCACCACATCTGTCAAATGAATAATATACCAAAAATGTGTTTGAATTTTTCAATAAGGTGATATATCAAGCGCATTTTGCTTGCCCAACAGCAGCCATTTAACATTGTTCCCGATGTTTATGCGAACATTTTATGACTTAAAGAGAATGTTTACTGTATTCTAGCGGCGAGTATAAAGTCACATTTGTACACCGCAAGCGTACCAGCGAAAATATCATAAACGTACCTGTCAACTTTTGACTTCTCTAATCTTTCTTCAAGTTCATATTTACTTTTAACAATGAACAAGGATTTATGCTGGCGAAAATAGCAGTTGCTTGCCAAGCTCGCAGAATGGTAGGGGTAAAACTATAATAACAAATATACGTGAATTGTCTGTTTGAGCATCTATCGAGCAGATACGCCGCCGATTAATAATAGTGTATGTGATACTTAAATGCAATCGACCAGGCAAAGTGGGGGCAGTTATTTTTGATGTACTCCGTGAGAAAAGTATAAACCAGAATACCCAAGTCTATAGGGCCTCCTCAGGTTTATGTGTAATAGTAATCCGGCTTGAAAGAATATTTACTGTATTCCAAAGAAGCACTGTTTAAGCAAAGAAGTGTAGGGGACTATGGGCAAGATATACTCGTTTCTTGGAAATTTCTGAGATGAGGGAGGAAACAACCAAGTTTAAGTAAGAGTTCCAGGAATAGCAAGCCAGAAGAAACAATAATTCCGCCGGCATTCCAGGCGACTGTACTGTTTACTCAACTTCAAAACGTTTCCTCTGAGATTGGTAATATGGAGGAGTTTCAGCAAGTGACGGAATACGAAATTAGGGTCACACGATATTTGTTAGACTAATATGAGATCGCCGCGCAACTTTCGGTAGCTGCCACTGAAAACTCCCAGTTAATTCAGCCTTTTATGGTAAGACAGACTTCGTATACCCTTGAAATACTTTGTGGCAGTTATAAGTCGCGCTGTAACCGTGGTTGCCAACCTTGGATGACGTATTCCAAGTGAGGGTGCACATAAAATTTTGCATCTTGGCTAATATGGATGGGTCAAAACTTCTGAATGCTCTCCCCAACAAGCAGACGTGCTGGTTGGCTCTTTCCGCAGCTGCTTCTGACCACCCCAAGTTTGCGTTCTTGGGCAGTTGTATGCAAACATGTGCCCCAAGCCTCTACACGTATGCATGTCTATGGCTCAATTGAAAAACGTGGCATTTTTCCACCTTGAACGGTTGTGCATTCTGAACTGATCACTTGCGGATTGTGCTAAGGTCACACTGAAGCTTTTCGCGGTCCTCCGGTTTTCTGATCGCTCGCCATAACTTGAGATCATGCGCAAAAATTAGGAAAACGGTAGTAAGTTTCCTCGCCAAATCGTTTATGAAAATCAAAACTAGACAGGGCTATAGCACCGAGTCTTGTGGTGCACCGCACTTTACTTCAGTTGCATCGGACATGGTTTCTCCTTTTCTTATCTGCAACCTACGTTCGTGCCTATCGAAAACAGCAGTGGGTCCCCACTGCCATAAAGCTGAATTTATGGTGAAGGATTCGGTGACCTAAGCGATCAAAGGCTTTTTAAATTCCAGGTACATGACATCAACTCCTGCTCCATCATCAACTGCTTCAGTCCAGCTATTGCATGCAATTAGCAGGTTTGAGTTGCATGAGCGCTCTTGTGATTTTCCAGCTACTGCATGAGTGCAGCAGCAATGATAGACTCCATAACCTTGGAAAACACAGGGAGAAGTGTTGTCGATCGGTAATTGGTTGGGGCAGTATGACTACCTCCCTTATGAATAGAAGTGATGACCCCACATCACTATATTGCTGGAATTTGGTTCTCCACTAGACAGCGCTAATAGAATATAACCCGTTTCGCCAGATCACTAGCTGTTGCCTGTAAAGCCTTTAATCAAATGTTATCGAGACCAGAAGAGCTGGGGATACGCAGGGACAACAGTTGCTTTAACACCGGTTCTGCAGTAAAATTGATATTGGATAAAGCTGATTGTGGGACAATAGAAACAGGATAACCGTTGGGCCCGTTACACTGGAACTAATGTGAGTAATGGAACCAAAAGTGTTTGGCTGCTTCCGTTGCTGATCGCGTGCATCAGTCAGTCGCGTCCACTGCTGGAATTCCGCCTTGCACCTTACGAAGGCCATTTAACCCGCTTGTTCGTGAAGAATCGCTCCATTAACTCCTGCTTCTGCGTCACCTTTTCTTCGCAGACCAAGCTCCCACAGAACTTTTGCTGTGCCATGTAGGCGGTACAAGTTTCGGAATTCCAGAAGTCCTTGTGAGCTCCCAAGGCCTTGTCCTCCAAGGACATGTATTTACATGTTCTAATCCTTAAGAACAACTTCTTTCTCCTTTGACGATGGAAACATTTCTGCTCAGGTGCTTGCGCTATGACTGTGCTAAATGTCCTTGTGAAGCTGTCCCAGGTTATTTCTGAGGTGTCTTCCGTTAAAATGGTCCAGGATATCTGCTTAACAACCGCTGGTAACAGGTTGTAGTGCGGGTATAAATTTAACCATCCTATTCTGCAGGATATTCAGCATAACATACATAGTTAAACAGTGGAGTGACTTAGTTACGGTGACCTAGAAGAGTGCTAGTAATTTTTTCTTCGGTCATGAGCTCTTCGTTGCTGTGCACAAGATCAAGTATCGACGGCTTGGTAACAGTTAAATATCTGATAGCAGATGTTACATGGTTATAAATAGGGTAGCCTGAAATTACCTCTGGTAAACTGGCTTTTAGCTACATGTTATCGGTCGCCGGTATTTTCATCTCGTGCAAATTAAAGTCGCCTGCGTTGAGAATGTGACTGAAG